TCTATCACCCCTCCTCGTGGCCGAGCTCTCTCTCTCCTCCTCTCTCTCTCTCTCTCTCTCGAGTGCTCTCGAGCCTACCCTATCGAGATTTATGGAACGTGTCAAATCGAACGGCTCCAACCCCTTCTCGAGTTAAGCGGCCCGATTGTTGGAGCCTTGCACTTGGACAGACTCGTGTCTCCCTCGCTCCAAATTCCAGGTATATTCGAGGATTATATGTTATCTCGTCGATAACATTTTCCTTCCAACGGCTCACTTTCTTGACACCATTGAATTTTCGAATTAAATCTTAAAAATTGAAATCTTTCTTATCTCTCTTATCCAATTCTCAAATAGTTGAATAGCTCGATCGAGAGCAAAGGAAGAGAGAGAGAGAGAGGGAGATGCACGATTTACATCGCGCGGCGTGTAAGATTCTATTTGCGGTTTGTAAGCTGTTGGCGAGCTGGAAGGAAGAAAAGTTGGAATCGGTGGCGCAAGGTGTTCTCGCGGTGTATAAACTCGACACCGTGTATAGGGAGGGGAGGGAGGAGGAGGAGGAGAAGCGCGTAGAGCAACGTGGAGGCTGCCGCTTCCTTCATCTATCATGCGAACCATGACAAACCGAGGCTCAAAAGCAGAGCCGCCAGCGCGGCAAGCGACTTCTTGCCTTGCTGCCTTTGAGCCTCCCCTCCTCTCTCTCTCTCTCGCTCGCGCTTGTTCGAGTCGAGCCTCCTCTCTACCTGTCCGCTACGTGGGATCCGCTCCTTCTCTCCATCCACATTTATTAACATTTAAGCGTTAACGACATTTCTCTCTCTCTCTCTCTTCGTTCGTGGCGTCGGAAAGAAACCGGAACCGTCCTCGATTCCTTTCGTTTTTCGTTTCGAACACGCGAAAATTCGAGTGTCGTGTTTTTATTTTTGTCTCTCTCCTTTTCTAGGAAAGGAAGGAAAACGGTGGATAGATGATTTCTATGATGAATTCTTTTTTTTTGGTTGGTTGGTTGTTTATAGCGAGTTCTTATTTCTTTAGGTTTCGATTAGGTTTGAAAAGGTGGTTACTTTTATTCGTATCGGTGATGCGATGTAATTGAAGATGGTCAAATAAGTAATTTTTAAGTCGTTTCGTTGGCGAGATGATCACAAGGTGGAATTAAAATTTATTTTTCCTTCGTTTCACGATCGTTCAAACGATTCGGAGAATGTTACGAAATCAATGTTACGAGATAATAGTTTATGGATTATACGAATTATATATATTTCGGTTGTCATTGATGATCACAAAATTTATCTTTCACGGTCGTTCGATATTCGTAAATTTTCAATCAAATTTATCGAATGATAATAATTTTCAGACGACTGTATTGACCAATTGACGATCACAAAATTTGTTTCACAATTGTTCAATATTGTTCACAAAATGCTGAAATCAAAATTATCAAATAATAATATCAATAATCGTTCAAATTCCAAATCGAAGTTATATCACAAATCAAATGATAATTTCCATATCAACTATATTCCAGTTATCATTGATGATCACAAAATTTATTTCCACGATGCTGAAATCAAAGTCACCTGAAATAATAATTTTCAGACGATCCAATTTCATACTAT